ACCATCCAAGCGGGAGGCCTGGCCCAGGCGTGAGGCCCAAAGCTCCAACATTTCCCGGATTCAGGGAAAAAGGACGGGAAAAGCACAGCAGGAGCCGGGGCGGGGGAGGATTGCACCCCGAGCCCCCCGAGCCCCCCGGGCTGTCCCTGGCCCCATTCCCGCGGGATTAACCCCAAACCCGCGTCACGGTGACGGGGCGCAGCGCCGCCAATTAACGCTCACGCGCTGCTAATTAAACCTTGCGCAAGGCGATGAAATCCCAGGCAGGGAGGGAATCACCCGCGCCAATTGGGCCGGGCGGGCCGGGGTTAATCCCGGGCTCCTGGATTTGGGGTTTCCTGGATTTGGGGTTTCCTGGCTTTGGGGGTTCCTGGTTTTGGGGTTTCCTGGCTTTGGGGTTTCCTGGTTTTGGGGTTTCCTGGTTTTGGGGTTTCCTGGCTTTGGGGTTTCCTGGCTTTGGGGTTTTCAGCCCCGCTCCGGCTCTGCCGGGCAGGGCCAGGGAGGGGAACGGTGGGAAATGAATTGAGGCTGATGGAGAACAGAGAATTGTTTAATCACGCGGGGCTTTATCACCCCGGGCCAGCCCTTAGCACTGAGCCTTATCAGGATCCTTAACATTGATCCTTAACATTGATCCCTGTCACTGATCCCTGTCATTGATCCTTGTCATTAATCCTTATCTCTGAGCCTTATCAGGATCCCTGTCACTGATCCTTAACATTGATCCCTGTCACTGATCCCTGTCACTGATCCTTATCAGCCAGCCCAAGCTCAGTTTTATCCCCTTAGGGCTCTGGTTTATCCTTTAGAGCTCGGCTTTACCCTTCAGGGCTCGGTTTTACCCTTTCAAGGCTCAATTTTCCCCTTTAGGGCTCAGTTTTATCCCCTTAGGGTTCGGTTTTACCCTTGAGGGATCAGTTTTATCCTTGAGGGCTCAGTTTTATCCTTGAGGGCTCAGTTTTATCCCCTTTAGGGCTCGGTTTTAGACCCTAAACCCCCCTGCAATGCCCAACTCCCCAAATTTTGGTCCATTCTGGGCCATTTTGGGCCCTTTTGGTCCATTCTGGGCCGTTTTGGGCCGTTTTGGGCCGTTTTGGGCCCTTTTGGTCCATTCTGGGCCGTTTTGGTCCATTCTGGGCCGTTTTGGGCCTTTTTGGGCCTTTTTGGGCCCTTTTGGGCCGTTTTGGGCCATTCTGGGCCGTTTTGGGCCGTTTTGGGCCGTTTTGGGCCATTTTGGGCCTTTTCGCCGCAGCCGCTCGGCGCTGCCATTGCGCCCCCTGGCGGCCGCGCCGCGCCTTGCACCCGAACCCCCCCCGAACCTTCCCGAACCGTGCCGGACTCTGCCGAGCCCTGCCGAGCCCTGCCGAACCTTCCCGGGCCAGATCGGCGCAGGCGGGCGGAGAAATCCCACAAAATCCCGTAAAAATCCCACAAAAATCCCACAAAATATCAGGATCCCTGTCACTGATCCCTGTCACTGATCCTTATCAGCCAGCCCAAGCTCAGTTTTATCCCCTTAGGGCTCTGGTTTATCCTTTAGAGCTCGGCTTTACCCTTCAGGGCTCGGTTTTACCCTTTCAAGGCTCAATTTTCCCCTTGAGGGCTCAGTTTTATCCCCTTAGGGTTCGGTTTTACCCTTGAGGGATCAGTTTTATCCTTGAGGGCTCAGTTTTATCCCCTTTAGGGCCTGGTTTTATCTCCTTTAGGGCTCATTTTTCCCCTTTATGGCTCAGTTTTATCCTTTAGGGTTCAGTTTTCCCCTTTAGGGCTCAGTTTTACCCCTTAGGGCTCATTTTTCCCCTTTAGGGTTCAGTTTTACCCTTTCAAGGTTCAGTTTTATCCTTTAGGGTTCAGTTTTCCCCTTTAGGGCTCGGTTTTAGCCCCTAAACCCCCCTGCAATGCCCAACTCCCCAAATTTTGGTCCATTCTGGGCCATTTTGGGCCCTTTTGGGCCATTCTGGGCCCTTTTGGTCCATTCTGGGCCTTTTCGCCGCAGCCGCTCGGCGCTGCCATTGCGCCCCCTGGCGGCCGCGCCGCGCCTTGCACCCGAACCCCCCCCGAACCTTCCCGAACCGTGCCGGACTCTGCCGAGCCCTGCCGACCCTTTAGGGCTCAGTTTTACCCCTTAGGGCTCATTTTTCCCCTTTAGGGTTCAGTTTTACCCTTTCAAGGTTCAGTTTTATCCTTTAGGGTTCAGTTTTCCCCTTTAGGGCTCGGTTTTAGACCCTAAACCCCCCTGCAATGCCCAACTCCCCAAATTTTGGTCCATTCTGGGCCATTTTGGGCCCTTTTGGTCCATTCTGGGCCGTTTTGGGCCGTTTTGGGCCGTTTTGGGCCCTTTTGGTCCATTCTGGGCCGTTTTGGTCCATTCTGGGCCGTTTTGGGCCTTTTTGGGCCTTTTTGGGCCCTTTTGGGCCGTTTTGGGCCATTCTGGGCCGTTTTGGGCCGTTTTGGGCCGTTTTGGGCCATTTTGGGCCTTTTCGCCGCAGCCGCTCGGCGCTGCCATTGCGCCCCCTGGCGGCCGCGCCGCGCCTTGCACCCGAACCCCCCCCGAACCTTCCCCAACCGTGCCGGACTCTGCCGAGCCCTGCCGAGCCCTGCCGAACCTTCCCGGGCCAGATCGGCGCAGGCGGGCGGAGAAATCCCACAAAATCCCGTAAAAATCCCACAAAAATCCCACAAAAATCCCATAAAATTCCACAAAAATCCCATAAAATCCCACAAAAATCCCATAAAAATCCCACAAAAATCCCAAAAAATCCCATAAAAATCCCACAAAAGTCCCATAAAATCCCCTAAGAATCCCACAATATCCCATAAAAATCCCCTAAAAAATCCCACAAAATCTCATAAAAATCCCATAAAATCCCACAAAATCCCCTAAAAATCCCACAAAATTCCATGAAAATCCCCACAAAATCCCATAAAATCCCACAGAATTTGGGGGAGCAGGGAGGGGAAAGCCCCCCTGAGAGCAGGGATGGGGGAACGGGGATTTTTGCCCTTGTCCCTCAGGGATTTGGGGTTTCAGGCTGGAAAATGAGGGGTTTCCCCCAAAAACGGGCCCGAGGGTCTGGGGGCTCCTGGGGCCACTGAGAGCGGAGATTTGGCCACCAAAATGTTCCTCCCTGCAGCGTCCCACCCCAAAAGGGCCAATTTTCACTCAAAAGGGTGAATTTTCCCCCCAAAAATGTGAATTTCCCTCCAAAAAGGAAAATTCTGCCCAAAAAGGAGAATTTCCCCACAAAAAAAGTGATTTTCCCCCCCAAAAATGCAAATTTCCCCCCAAAAAAGCGAATTTCCCCCCAAAAAGGTGAATTTCCCCCAAAAGGACGCCCCAGTGAGTGGAGGCCGAGCCCACGCCGGGAATGACCCCAAAAAGGGGCAGAAAATGGGGCAAAACCCCCGGATTTGGGGCAAAAGGAGCTGGAGCAGAGCGGGGAGCCGCGGGGAATTTCAGAGCAGGGATAAAAGGGAGGAAAATCAGATTTTTTCCCCCATTTCTTTTGAATTTTATTGATTTTTTCCCCCTGAAAGCAGCGATTTCCAGCAGGCAGCGCCGGCTCCTCCCGGGAGGAATAAATAAAGGAAAAACCTGGGGGAAGGAACATTTCCTGACCTTTTCAAAGACAATTAAAATCGCGCTGGAAACGGCGATTTCAGGAGAAAAACCCAAGCTCTGCACGGGAAAAATGGAGAAAAAAATCCGATTTTTATTAAAAATGACAATTTCCCCCTTTTTCCAGAGCCGTTTTAGGGGGAATTCAGGGGGTTTTGGGGGTGTCTGCACCTGCCGGGGGAGGCAGAACCCTCCCCCGGCGGTTTTGAGGCAATAAACGGGGTTTTGGGGTGGGGGAAATTGGGTTTATGGAGCCTCTCTGCGGTGCTCATTACCAGCTTTTGCCTCGTTTTAACTGGGATTTTTTATTTCATTGTTGGCTTTTATGACTTCCCCCCCCTTCTCTTTCCGAGGTAGAAGAAAAAAAAAAAATTAAAAAATAAAAAAGGGGGAAAAAATAAAAAGGAAAAAAAAAAATCCCATCCGCAGCCCCCCCCCCGGTGCCTGGAGGGATCCGATATAAAATAGGGAACAATTTGTCAGCTACAACGGGAAATAAAAGTGATGGATTGGAGGGCCGGGGCTTCACCTCCTGCGCGGGAGCGGGAAAGGAGGGAGAGAAACCGCGGCTTTGGGGGAAAAAATGGGATTTTTGGGGTGAAATTCCTGGGATTNCGGCGGGGATTTGGGGGTTTGGGGACACTGAGGGGATTTGGGGCGATTTGGGGACATTGGGGGGGGTTTGGGGGTACAGGGAGATTTGGGAATGCAGGGGCGATTTGGGGACATTGGGGGGATTTGGGGGCACTGGGGGATTTGGGGACACTGAGGGGATTAGGGTTGGGAATTTGGGGTTGGGGATTTGGGGTTGGGGATTGGGAGTGACAAAAACCCCCAAAAATCTCATTTTCGACCCCAAAACCCCCGCAGAGAGCGGCGGGGCCCCGCCGGGACTTTGTCCCCTCGGTGCCAGCCCTGCCGGGGACAGAGCCGGCCCAGGATTCCCAAATAAACGCCCCCGTTTCCCCGTCCTCCCCTAGAAATATCCCCTGTAAATATCCCCGTTTCCCTGTCCTGGAGGGGAGATCTGAGCAGCTTTTAAATGTCAGGCGTAAAGTTTGTCATAAAAGAGCGTGTAAAGAAATAAAAACGGGGAAAATAATCCGGGAAAAGCACAGCCCACCCCAAAAGGGCTCCACAGACCCCAGGCCTGGGGGAGGAACCCAAATCCTGGGGGAGGAACCCCCAATTTCTGCAGTGAAACCCCAATTCCCGGATCAGAACCCCCATTTTGGGATCAGAACCCCAATTCCCGGGAGTTCTGCCTCCTTTTTGGGGCCGTTTCTGGCCATTTTCACAGCCCGCTTCTGCCGCTCCTCCCCGCACCCCCCCGAACCCAAAACCCCCGAAACCCCCCCAAAACCCCCCCAAAACCCCCGGAATGCCCCCAAACCCCCCAGACCCCGCGGCTCCCACGCCCCCGGGGCCGGTGTCGCCTGTCGCTGTCCCGCGGGGACCCCGAGGGGCCGGGTCGGGGTCTGGGGTCGGAGTTTGGGGTCCCCCCCTGCCGGAGCCCCCCCAGTCCCGGCTCCTCGTCATTGATTTCCCGTTCATGGCCGTTAATTATCGCCCTGCTTTAATTAATGGCCGTGACGGCAGCGGCGCCGCCAGAGAGCCGCGGGCGGGGGGGGGCGGTGTCCCCAAGGGGGGGGACAGCCCCTGGGGGGGACACTGGGACCTCCGTGCGCCGCCGGGGACGCGGTGGGACACTGACAGACAGACAGACAGAGAGACACACAGACGGACAGACACACAGACACACAGACGGACGGACGGACGGACAGACACACGGACAGACGCACACGCAGACAGACACACAGGCGGACAGACGGACAGACACACGGGCAGACACACGGACACACGGACAGACAGACGCAGGTGCCGCTCCGTGTCACGTGCTCGCCCCAGGTGCGCTCACCTGCGCTCCCCCGTTTTCCCGCCAGAGGGCGCGCTGGCTTTAGCCCCGCCCACGCCCGCTCAGGCCCCGCCCCCCGCGCCGCTCCGAGTCCTCCCGCCCGGCAGGGGGGGCCGCACCGCCTCCCCGGCCGCGCATGCGCACACGGAGAGGCCGCGACCTGCCCGGCGGAGCCCGGTGAGAGCGGGGACGGAGCGGGGGGACAGGGCCGGGGACACCGAGAGAGAGCCCGGGGACACCGAGAGAGAGCCCCGGGACACCGAGAGCCCGGGGACACCGAGAGCCACGGGGCCCGTCTCGGCCGGGGGCCTCGGGAGCTCCTGTCCCCACCGGGGGTGACACCTGCAGCAGCCCCTCCGTCCCTGTCCCCAAAGCGCCACCGCTTTGGGGCGGGCACAGGGTGACAGCCACACGCCCTGCCCCCCCCCGTGTGTGCCCGTGTCCCCTGGGTGCCACCCGTGTCCCCTGAGTGCCCTGGCTGCCACTGTGTCCCCTGAGTGCCACTGTGTGCCCCTGTGTCCCACCCGTGTCCCCTGTGTCCCACCCTGTGTCCCCCCAGCCGTGTCCCTCGGCCGTGTCCCCGTGTCCCTCCGTCCTCGCCATGCTCACCTGTGCCAGGTTCATCTCGGCTCCTGCTCTGGTGAGTAGTGCCAGCCCCGTCCCTGTCCCGTCCCTGCCTTGTCCCTGTCCCATCCCTGTCCCTGTCCCATCCCTGTCCCTGTCCCCGCGGGACGGGCTGGGGGTGGCCTGTGACCCTCGGGGACACGGTGGGGGGTCTGGGGACACTCTGGGCGGGTTGGAGGGGAGCGGTGACAGGGCTCGGTGACAAAGGCGCGGGTCACCGCTCACCTGGAGGGGACAGCGCTGGCAGTGCCACCAGGCTGGGGTGGGCTGGGGTGGCCCTGGGGGTGGCAGGGGCGGTTCTGGGCAGCGCAGGGTGGCTGTCCCCGTGTCCCCGTGTCCCCAGGTGAGCCGGCTGTGCCCGCAGGTGCGGAGGAGCCCGCGGGCGGGGCTGGGGCAGCCCCTGGCAGCGCTGAGCGGCCCCGAGGCGCGGCCGGAGCAGGTAACGGGGCAGGCGGGGGGGACAGGGACCCCGGGGGGGACAGGGACCCCGGGGGGGACAGGGGCCCTGGGGGGGACA